GTATTGTAAACTAGTGTGGTCTTATTATGACACTGTTTTTGGAGAGTTGTTGCTAAACGGGATCTTACCTCACAGGAAGGAAGTTATAAAAAAATAAGCTGGTATAGAAACATTCTTGTTTAAAGAATGCAATACATGGCCACCGAGAAGTATAAAAATGAATGTTCATACTTACAGGCTCACTGTATTTTAGTTGACTCTGCAGAAAATGATATAAAACTACAGTAGTGCTTCTCTCCCATCAGATAATCAACATGATTATTAAGGTAAGAGTTATATTTTTGTTACTGAATGTCTGGTAAAAATGTAATTCACGTAATGGACACTTTTCATTCAACTAATTTTTGCCAATAGATAACATCAATTTGGACTGTGGGTACCTTCCTGATAATTTTTACCATTATATCAGAGGCTTTGAAAATTAGAACACGCCATTTTATCACGGGTAAGCAATGTGCTCGATACTTTTGTGAATTTTAGGAGGAAAATATAACAATAGTCTAACAATCCATTTCTAGGAGATAAAGCTAGACAACATCCAGTGAGAAACAATCATTATATCTGGCCAAATGAAGAAAAGTTTATTAAGATTCTAGGTAATTTTTTTAACCATACAACTCAATATTCAACATCAGCTAAAAATTTGGATCAACCCCACAAGGATGCTGTCATTTATACTACAGAAGAAATAATGAAGGAACAAACAAACATTGAAATGAATATAGAAAGATCTATTGCTAGTAGTGTGCTCATTCACAGAGACAGATCTTTGCTTAAAACACTCGGCCACGAAAATCATGACACAAATGCAAGTGAAAGATTAGAATTTAAAAAAAATAACCATCAACCCTTATATATTCAGAATGAACTAAATTCTAAATCACAAAAATTGATCCATTTTAGGATGTTGACAGAATTATTAAAGAAATCTCCGCATGCACACATTCCAGATACATATGCAACATTCCATCAGAGAGACCATCAAGGAAAACATATAGATTCAGATACCTCTGCAACAAAATTGGCTTTAGCAGTAATGAATGAAAACACAAACATTGGCAAGAAACCAAAAACTCTTAACAAATACAATGTTCGAATAGGAATAAAGTTTTATGTGAATGATGAAAATTGCAAGAATTCTTCTGTTCAAGATAAAAATAGGAATAAAGATAATTCACAATGCACTAATTATATAATTATACCAGAAATGAATCAGAACGAGAACTTAAAAAGAGTGATAAACAATTCAATGTTCAAGTTGATGCCTATAGAGGCAACAAATTTTATTGATCATAAAATCAGCGAAAAGCAAAATCTGTTTGGAGAAGAACCACACAAATTATTTCCAGATAATCTTGACCCTTTGTTTTTAGAACGAATTCAAAATATTACCCTTAATCCTCATGCACAAGTTGAGGATTCAACATTTCCCATCAGTGGTCTTTATTGGACATCACATAAGGTTACAAGCAAGGGAGATAATCAAAATAATTTGGCTCTTTATGAGTATCCTTCCATTTATTTGCAACCACCATTGTATAGTAGCTCGAGGGGACAAATATCTTCTTTAAAGACGGATATTTACAATCTTCCTGAAGCATATTATTCAAGTGCTCAAGATGATATAAACAATGAAGATTATAACAAAGTACCTATTTTATCTATGCATAATCTCACTGGAATTCAAAATCAAAAATACATTACAACAGGTGTATCACAACATGGAAACATTAAATTTCCTTCATTCAACTCACAGTTTAGAGACACAAGACCAAATCCCTTGAATCGTGAAATGACTCATGACATTTCACCTTCCTCATTCAAACGTGGCTATTCTCGAAAGCAAGTGTTAAACCACAGATATGAAACAAACACAGATGCAGTTATTGAAAATTTTCCTTCAGGATCGATAATGAGCAACACACACAAATTTTTATCTACAAAAAATAGAAATATTAATTTTGTCTTGCAATCCCCTGAAATCATTCACACCAAGTTTCACAACTTTCCACAAGTGCACACCTTTCCCCCTGTTTGGCCCAGGTCACATTATACAGCGCAAAGCAGATTCTTTGATAATTCTCGATTAAATACATACCCTTCTTTACCGAAGATTCCACATTCAAATCAACGACATTCACAAACACCATTTGCTTTATCTACCTCTCTAACACCTCCCAGTACCATCAACATTCCATTATATTACAGCCAAAACATTCAAACATAAGAATATTTTGGTAACTCGATTACACAATATGTTCCCTACATGTTCTCTACAAAACATATTCAAGACTCATTGCTGACGACTGCACACATAGTCTTAAGATGTAAAAACAGCTGAAACTCAGTATCAAAAATGCCATTACAGCCAATAATGTTTATTAGGCAAAAACAAACTGATACATAATATGCAATGACAAAATGTTATTAATAATTTTAACAATTAATTAAATCATTACAATTGTTTTTGCAATTAATTTGTGTTTAAAATTTGATTGAAAATAGTATTTATTTTAAAAATTGTCCAGCTTAATAATAAGTGGCATATTAATAAAATATGTTCTTAAAGCATATTAAATTTATTAATACCTGCTTTTCAAACTTGTACTTCAGAAATGTGTTAAAAGGAAATTGTAAAATGGTTCAATAAAGGAAAACATATACAAGTATACTTAATTTATTTCTCTTTAATTTACATAATCTTTGTCACAAACATTAACTTCTTAAAGACAAATTAAATACCACTAACAGCAGCACGAATGCATAAAATAACTAAGTAATATCAAGCAACCTCTAGATATACATTATTCATTCATATTAAATATCAATACCAGAGAGGCAACAATGGAATGACATTTCACCACTTTTGCTGCATCATAGCCCATAGTCACATTAATGCAATATTACACTTCAAATGGCAATTATTCACACAATTTCACAGAAAATGTGCAGTAAAGAAACTTGAGAAAATGAACTCCATCAAATTATTGACAAGTTCTGAAGCTGCCTATATAGTTCTAATTATCATACGTAACACACAGTGCCCTACAAACCACTTCTTATAGCAAATTTAGGAAAACAGAAATAAGTATAGTGTATAATAACGATTATGCATTATTAAAAATGAGTTACAGAATGTACGAGGTATCATTCCTACACAAACAAAGACATTGAAATATCTGGAAGATTTAAGTTAAAAATCAGTCTTCTTTTCCTACAAAAAGGTAATTAAGAGCATACACAGAGAATCCTATAAAAGTTGTAAATCAAGTACACGAGAGTTCTTACAACATATATTTGTATGTACTAAATAGTTTATTGCAAATTCAACATGTTCATCCTGTAAAGAGAGCGAGTTTCTTTCTTTTACCACTCCCTGGAAATATCTGACCATTTCTCAAAATAAAATTGATCTTTACATTTCACACTGGTGAACATTTTCTTACAAAAGACATCTTCAGTAAAGTTCACAGAGTCCAGAAAGAAACACACCACCAGTATGAAAATACTACACAAGTTCATGTTAAAATGTTTTCATTCAGCAATGTGAAGAAACTTTAAAATTTAAGTAGTTACTTACTTACTTTTACAAATGTAGAATATTGCACATTTATTAAAATAGAGTCCATCTTCAAAACATGCCCTAAAAAAGTTTCATTCACTCTGAGATAAGATGACACAAAGAACAAATTTTCAAAAATATGTTTCAATTTCAAAATTTTTTGAAGGTTGAAGAAACAAAAAATCAGAATATCAATTCTCCTACACACAATGATAATGCTCACTTCTTGCAAGACACAAAAATCATTCACTACCCATATTTCATAAAATCCATACAAAATTTGTTGAAATTTCACACTTTCAAATACAGCATGCTCGTACAATTTCTCACAACAAAATATAGTTCACAAGGAAATTGTCTGACCTATTACACAACTCGGCAGAAGTATTTCAACAAATGAGCAGGCACAGTATATTCTACATTATTTCCTTATCTAAAATATTTTGAAAATGGTCATTCAGTTTTTGAATTCTTTGAATGTACCATGTTGCCATTCACAACCAAGATTAAAAATATAACTTACTTCTGTACATCAAACACACATTTACAAATCCACTTTTTAATACTGGTATTTACTCAAAGAATAAATTATAAAAAATCAACATAAAATAACATGAGATTATAAATGTTCTGAGAATTTATATTAAAATCTCAAATATGAGGACCATATTCAGGTAGTGCATTAAGTGCCAACAGTTTCTGTACCAAATTTCAGGAATGAAATCTCTCTCTCCATTCAAAATTGCAATTCCATCAGCAGTCAACCATAGACATACTCTTCACTTGGCAATAACAACTGCAAGTAGCCCTTTAAAGGGGACTTTCAGAAACATACTTAGATTTACTAGCACATGGACCTATACGAGGATTTCCTCCTCCAGCACACATAGATATAAAAATAAATTACTGAGACACCAATCTATGCGAAAGTTGATATGTTATTGAGACAACACTTAATATACAAAGTCAGCTTTCATTTATTATTCAAAAGACTCTAGTATACTTTGAGATACCTTACATTATGCTGGAAAAGGCTTACAAGGCCAAATGTAACTTACTCTGAAATGGCAGGAAATAAAGATCAAAAGTAAATGCAAATTTTAAAAATAGATTCTATACAAATAATTGAAAAATCTCAATTTCTTAACAGAACATATGACATGACACACAAACAATATATTTTAAGTAGAAAAATACATTACTACTAATTTATGAGAATAAAACAGTGAAACAATGGTAGAATTTGTCCTTTCCTACTCACTGTCTTAACTGAATTTTGAAGGACGAGTTTAACAGACCACAAAAAATCTTTATAATTCTTGCAAAAAACGCACACATTATGTCCCTTTTGACAATCAATCAATTTGCATAATATTTCACTTTGAATTGACTATTACACTGGCACACTTTGATTGGAGTGTGTCCAATCTAACATACATCAGCCTCTGTTCAATGCAGTTTCTGCACAAGCAGGGTTCTCCTGTACCCTGAATCCATGTTTTTCTCTGTATACAAGCTTTGCTTTGTTTATGGGGGAGCCCATGTAGCTTAAGAGAACTGGAAGGAACACCAAACCATGTGCAGCTCCAAATAATACAATACCTAAATACATTCTAAAATAGAAAACTTTAAAAATTTGAGATTTTGCTAAACCTAATACTAGAATACCACCAAACTTTGTTAAAGTTATACCAGAGAAAACCGAACTTCCCATATTGACTAATGCATCGGTTACTCTTGATACTCTTGTTTCTTCTACAGAAACAGCAAAGGAATGAACTAAATGACTACAAAATTCCACTGCAATCCCAACAGCCATTACTAAATTAACCAAAGAAACTGCATTGAGAGAGATATTCCACCAATACATTAGCCCACCAATATTAATGATTATCATTGATATTGTTATGATAACAACCAAAGATGATATGAAATCAAATCCCATCAAAATAAATGTCACTACAAAAATTGCTGCCAATGATACTCCTAAACTGAACAATGTGTCAGGCCACATTGTCAAGTATTGTTCATAGAAAACATAAAATATACTATAAGGAAACACATTGACCGTTTTATTGGAATTTAGTTCCTTGAGACGATTATTCATAAAATCAGTTATGTTTGCTGAAATTTTACGGGCAGATCTCAAAGCTTCATAATAATCTGCTGATGTTTTCATAAGACTATGGAAAGCCATAAAATAATTTGCTCCCACAGAATTCACTAAGCCTGTTTTCACATCTTCATTGTAGTTTACTGCTTGGCCATAAGCACCATGCCCTCCCTTTGAACATGATGTGGTGGGATTATCTTTGAGGAAAAAAGTTAAATATTTCTTGAAAGAAGTAATATTTGGACGTTTTGTTACCTCGTCTTTACCAATGCTGCATTTTGCACAATTTATGAAATCATTTGGACAGAAAGAACCATTCTGAGCATAATACTGGCAACATGCAGAAGCAGACCAGTCAAAATAATCATCAAGCCATGATGATGAAGGCCTAGCAATAAACGAAGATCGAGGTATTTTTGATGCCATGTAAACTTGTGTCACTAAAGATGAGCTATTACAATATTGTGCCCCACACACTGTATTTTGAATGTCATAATCAGAATAGTCCAGTTCACCCTCCACAACAAAATATACTGGAGGACCAATAGAGAGATAATTCTTCAGAAATTTGAAATATTTCAATACAAATGAATCCTCAGGCATTGAAAGCTCTTGATCTAAACCAATCTCAATACTAGGCAGTACAGCAATACTAGTGCAAAGCCAACCAAAGAAAAACACCATGACACCTGCCCGAACTGATTTGTTCATGAGGCATGGAACATATAAAACTTTGAAAAATTTATAAAGAATACCTTCAGAAGTTATATCATTACTTTCAGCTTTAGCGCCTTGAACAAAACAACAAACATCTAGTCTGTTTGCAGCTTGTCTTAATGTATCCAAAGCAAGTAAGCTAACAAAACATGTTATTTGGAAAATAAAATCTATCAGTAATGCCATACCAGCATAAAGAGCGAAAGCTCGTACAGCTGGCATATCAGAAAGACTACCAAGGAAAAAACAACAAGACTCTGAAAGACTTGTAAGAAGCATTGACGGCCCCACTTGCCCCAAAGTGCGGCCTATATGTTCGGCATGACTTTCATTATGTTGGCGAGCTTCTCTTTGATGAGTTTGCACCAAAATGAAAATGTTATCAACACCTACAGCCAAAACTAAAAATGGTATTACTTCTATGATTATAAGGGTAGCAGGAACACCCACAAAACCAAAAAGGCCTACTGAACACACTACTGAAGCCAAAACAATAATAACACCACCTAAACCAAGCGTGATTTTGCTATCAATAAGCAACCTGCTACATGAACGCATTTGGCCAAGAGAAATAGCAATATAAGCAAACATTATTACATAACTAACAAGTATTGTCATAACATCTGAATGAGAACCCCTGTCTAACTCATCTTCAATAGAACGTTCGGAGGTGAAAGCAACATCCATAAATTCTGTATGATTTTCTGTCCAGCTCTCCATGAATTCTATAAATTTTTTTTCCCATTCTAGGGCTGGAGCTAATTTTGTCTTATTGTGGTAATTGTTAATAAGAAATGTAAGAATTATAGCTGTAGCTCTCTCATACTTAGGTTGGCTATCAAGCTGCTCTCCGGGCTCTAAAAATCCACCAACAGCAATTGCAGGATCTACTGGACCACCATATGAAGCTAAACAGTCAATATTATATGGATTCTGTGAACATTTTTTGAAGTGATCTAAATATGTTGCTGGTTCAGCATCTGGATCATCGGAATCTTCTAGGTCTTCTGGTTCTTCCTCGAATTCAGTATTTGTAAAATAGCCCCAGATACTCTGTATAACACATTCTTTAACATTGGTTTCAGAATAAAATTGTGAACGAAGAGGAGCATAACAGATTTTATCAAGGCCTTTCCCTTCAACTTGTCCAAGGAATTCTATCTGTTTCTGTAATTTTTGAACCTCTAACAAAAATTCCTTATGAAATACAGGCCCAAACTGAATAGGACCATCAGATGTATTGTGAATAATGTTTGGCAAGCCAACAGCTCTAATTATAACTTGTTCTGTACGATAAAAAGGTTCAAAGTGACTATCAAAATATTCCCGTTCCACACGAGACCTACTTGTAGGAGAAGCCCATAATTCCACAGGATCTGTGGTAACCTTCATATATTTGATGCCATGCCCCAATCCCACAACTACACACAAACCCAAAAACAAAACAAGCCATGGATTTGATGCACAATAAGTTCCCCACCATCTGAAGAACTGTTCTAATTTACGGTCAGTTTCAGCTCCGAGACGTTCCAAAAATGTTGCACTCGAGTCTATCTGACGAGGAATATTAGCACCTTCCGCGCTGACAACACTGGATCTTTTAGATCTCAATGGGCTATCTTCTTCATCAGCACCCAGAGCAATTCTTGACTGATTTAAACCAGCCAATCTCTGCCCCACAGGATCTACACCTTCACCTCGCACTAAACTAGAAATTGAGTAATGATCACTGCACTTCCACTGCATATACAGAACTCCAAGAAACAGGAGAGTTCCAATTACAAAAACAATGGCCATAATAACAACATAGCCATTCATGCCACATATCAGAAATGGCCCTTTCTTTGGAGGTACCGGGGGAGGTACAGGACAACTGGCTTCACAGTCCACACAACTGCAAGGTGGAACATCTGAGCTCAGAGCTTTACTACAAGGTGTTATCTCTGGATCCAGGGGCACAAATTCTTCTACAGGTGTATCTGACACAACATAAGTCATTTGAAACGGTACGAAAGGATTTCCTTCTGCATCGCCCATATACGTGAACCACTTTTGCGGTGAGCAGCGGCTAGCTCCCCACTCACCACACATTAGATCCAGAGCCAATTGCCCTGTCGATGGCACAGACACCTGAATGCACGAGTTAAATGTTCCTTCGATGTATTTCTGAGTAACATACATATCTACGCCCAATACGAATTCTTTTCCTTCATCGTTTACTTCCACTTGGGTGACATTCATATATCTACTTTGGTCAACGCCACAAGTAATTTGGCACAAGTGGCGAACCAAATTTTGCATACACGACGGGCATCGCTGAAGAAAATTGGCAGCCAATTCTATGTTGCGATCGAGGGCATCCAGCTGTTGTTTATTGCAACACGTTGTAATAGACGAGCCGGGAGCCTTATCTTCGAAAAATTTAGGACACCATTTTTTTAATATTTCTTGCCCCTCTCCATCCAAAGGTTTTGACGGGCCTGTATAAGGGCAATTCTGTTTTCTCCCGAGAGGATCTGTATTACATTGTCCATACCATATACAATGATAGTCTTCTTCAGCACTAACGGGGCACGACCCCAACCAGGTCACAACAAACAAGGCAGCTATCCAAATGAAAAAGTACTGTGCGGATATATTCGATTTATACCGATGTTTTGCGCGAATCATCAAGTCACAGAAACGCGCCATAGTCTCACCTGGCCTTATTTTATAGGCCTTATTCCTTTAAATGCCTAACTTCACTGGCAACACACAGCTTTCACCTCACGAACAGGATCCAGCAGAAAATCTTCACTAATAGCTGAAACCTTTTCTGCAGCAACTAGGCGATACTATCAATCACAAGAACTTCGACGAAGCATTTCTTCACGTTCTTCTTACTAATTAAAAACCTCACTTTACGATTGCACGTCAGTTCCCGAACTCGACGACGACAATACTCATCCTCACAAGCCAAGAAGAACCGAACTGTCGGAATTGACGCTGCGTTGGAAACAAAACTACCGTTTGCGCCTGCCGATTGTGCTGCGCTCTGGCGTATAATCTGTAAACTATATCAATCCAGAACTTTCCTCTGTAGATGTCTCTTCACGCAAGAGCGCTATATTTAAAAGTAACCAAGTCTCTGCGTAAAAAAAAGTACTCCTCCGTACATGAATGCTCAAACACAATTTTGGAATTGCAGCTTATTATATATAATTGAAAGGAACAAACGGTTTGAAAGAAATATAGTACGATTTTATGAGCGTTCACAAAATACGCTTCTTATTGCTTACTTAAATTTTCCTTAAACGAGTGAGAAACTGAGACGGGCGTTTTTCGAAATTTCTATACGGTAACTTTACTTTTGAAGGTCAAATATGCAAAAATTCATCGAGATCGGAATACAACGGTTTGATGAGATTCGGTTTGTTGAATATATAGAGGCACCACCATGGGGAAGATACCTTAAGAGCTCCCCTCCCCCAAGCAGTTTACATCAATTACAAACAGGTTGTTCTACATTTCTGTTGCAATGAAAGTCATACAATACTTCAATAATTAAGCTATATGTCAGCTACAATCCAACAAATAAAAAATAATTAATTAAGCAAATTGAAATGCTGTTTATAAGATAACATTAAATCGACTCGACCTATAGATCTCTCCAAAGAAACAATCTCGTTGCGCCACTGATAATAAACTAAAGTAAACCAATATTATTACGCTGTAAGTCCACTTCTGAATACTCTCAAATTGGGAAAATATTCAAGAGCCGAATTTAACCGAAAATTTCAGCTGAAATTAACCGAAAATTTCTGCCGAAATGAAAATGTTTAATTGCTTCTTTATTTAGTGTTTTTTAAACAATGTTTCAGGAGTTAATTTTTACTGTCGTTATTTCGTTATTTCCGAAATTCAGTTTGAAACAAAAGCATCAAACTAAAAGCAATGTGAATTGCTTGCTGGCTATTTTACGCATGGGTGAATTTCGGGGCTGCTGGAGATCTAAAAAGGGCTCCAAAACATTGAAAACAACAAACGCGCCCTTCAAGAACTATATTAAGTTTCTTTTACCAATAATATCAGTTTCACTGCTTAGTCCATGTAATGGTGCACGACTAAGCAAAGTGCGCAGTTTCTCTTTTGATTCTTAATTATGACACCTTAGTGTAAGTAAAAGTGTAGGTGACACCAAATGCTGAGGTCGGGTTTATCTTGAGATGCCATTTAAGATTGCGGGAAATACCAATGTTGATACTTTTACTACTTCGCACTTCCTTCGAGGTGCGAGAGCGCAAGAATCGTGCGCCGGAAAACGTCAAATTTTCGGCAGAAAAATTCTTATTGCCTGACTGGTAACGAAAAAGAGGATAAATATTGTTCTTATATATAGTAAATTACTTCGGTGTAGCTCCAGAATTAATGTTTAGTGGGTCCTTGATATTGAAAATCAGATTGAAGTCAAAACGCCAGTCTGCCATCCGTATGTTCGTCTATTCGTCTGTGGTCAATGAAAGCACCTGAACTGTTCAGGATTTTTTCTGCAAAATTGATATTCCCAAATGGAGCTGAACGAGCTTTGCGAGATTCAAACGGATATTTTTTAATTTTTGGTGTACTTAACCCAAAGCTCCAAAAATATTTTTAACAATTCCTCAAAAATGGCTCAAAATGTTTTTGATTAAACTTTGTCTTTTTGGAAAATATTGTTGCAAAAAGTGAATGGTGCAAAAGTGCAATTTTTGGAGGGCGTCTGCTTACAACTACAATATTGAAAATAAAGAGTTTTCCCTTACAGATATCTGTTCTTTAAAGACAGATCTTGAAGTAAGAAAATGTTCAATTTTTGGAAATTTGAGTAATTTTCGCGTAATTTTGCGTGAAAAAAGCTATTTTTAATTTTTAAACTTTTTTTCTCAAACACCGCTCCAAATGTTTTTTTCAATTTTTTCACGGGTAGAAGAAAGGACGCTTAAAAGAATGGAATGGGTGTCATTTTTGTTGAACACTCTGAATTTCCGAAAATTGCAAATTTGAAATAATGCTAGAAAGTATGTGGTATTGCAGCACCACAAGTTTATTTTTGTTTTAAGTAAGTCATTACAACGTTTTCTTTAAGAAAAGTCCTTACACACTTTTTGAAATCCTGAAGCGTTTGAATTTTCTCGCGTTTACTTCGTAAGAAGAGAAAGTATTGTAATCGTGGCCAGGAAAACGCCCATTTTTCGTCAGAAAATTTATTATTGCAAGGTCTTGGTAAAGAAAAAGTGGAGAAATCATGTTCCTACATAAAGTAAATTACTTAAACACGTTGTGTAGTCAGAATACATGTTTTGTGGGTCCACAAATGTCTGTCTGTCCGACCATGGTCAACACCAACACAACCGTTCAGCCGATTGTATTTAATATTGATATTCGCCGATCGATATGAACGAACTCGAGGTCCTCTGAGTTTGAAACATATTTTGATTTGGAAAGATCTTTGTAGGATGCCTCAACACTTTTAAAAAATTTCCAAAAATGGTTTCAAACTTTTTGATTAAACTTTGTCTTTGGAAAGTGTAAAAAACGCTTGTGAGTATGGCACCGGTCTCACGTTCGTTGAAATCACTGTTTTTCAAAAATTCAAAAGTTCAAACTTTTTTCAGCGTCTTCCCAAAAGTATAATATTGAAGATATAGATTTTTTAAAGAATAAAATTTGTTCCATAAAAACAGATCTTGACATAAGGTCAGGCATAATTTTTCGATAATAATAGTTAACACTTAATTTTACGCGAAAATAGGCAATTTTTAATTTTTTAAACACCTTTTTTCTCAAAATAGCTCAAACATTTTAATTTGAATTTTCTCCTTGAATGTATCAAAGAACGGTTAAAAATTGGTGCTAGTCTAATTTTCGGTGATCTCTCAGTATTTTCGCAAATTGCAAAATTTTAACTTATAAAAATTACAAAATTGAAGGTAGAGATTTTTTGCTTTAAAAATATATTTTCTAAAAATCAACTCTTTAAAAAATACCATGTTCAAATTTAAAAAAAACGGTAGCTTTTCGAAATTTGTGCTTGAAATTAATATAATTTGTATAAAAAAACATTTTCTCAAAAACCGCTCCATAATTTTTCTTCAGATCATTTCCACAATATTTTCAGATTAGAACAAGGAACGGTTAAGAATGGCATAAATCTCATTTTCGATGAACTCTGAATTTCCGACAATTGTAATTTTAGAATTAATGCGAGAAATCATGCAGTAATTTGCACCACTAGTTTGGGTAAGAGTGCATGTTTTGAATGTGAGATATAAATCCTTGCTTTTGGAAGGATTTATTGGATGGAAATATTGGAAAAGTGCCTGGCGAGACCATCTCATAATTTTATGCACTTTTATATGGGGATTTCCGCATGTCTCAAAGGAAATTTTGTGAAGTTGTAGCTTTGTAGGTGAATTAGTTTGTGATAAATAGTGGTTTGTTTCACGTACAGCACCGTTGTACAGCACGACCATTAGATATTTGCATCTTGTGAAAAATATTTATTGATATCTACGCAGATATATTTTATATATGTTTATTTACCATTTTCTATACAAATATGTTTGAATGGGGTCTTCATTACCAAATATGTCTGGGGCCTCAGAATTCCTATAACACATTGCAATAAATTTGAACTTTGTGTCTTGCGAGATGAAATTTCTTGTCTTGTACTAAATCACATACGCTGATTGCGAAAATGAAATTAGAAATGTTCCATCACGTACCAATTTTTCTGGAAGAGGTACGTCACGTATACCACTTTAGAGAAACTTGGAAATGACTCAATAAAAATACAGGCGGAATCTGTAGTGTATTAATCTACATATCACGAAACAAAAATTATTTGTATTACAAGAATTGTTTATATTACATTATTTGCATTATTAATTGTTTATATTAGAATGGAAACAGTACGAGAAAGTTGAATAGAGCTTGAAATGTACTTAAAAGTAAGAAACTTTACCTTTCTGTTTGAGGGTGGATGATGATACGTCTTGGAGGAGTGTCCAGCAGAAATCCTCCAAAAGGTTTGATGACCATCTTTCCTTATGTCATCTTTCCATGGCCGCAATATCTCGTGAAATCGCTTACCATGTTCGTCACTCACATCACCAAGATTAGGACGAAAGAAATCCAAATGTGAATGAAAGAAATGTAATTTCAGGGACATGTAACAGTCCCGTATAACACACCCAGAGCCTTGTAACAGTCCAGCATGTGTTTAGTCAGTTCCTTATTATTCTCAAACATTATATTTTCCAAGACATTGACGCATACATCTTTCAGTGCAGGCCAAACTGCCTTCTCAGTATTCGTCAGCAACTGTTCAAAGGTAACACCTTTCGTCAAATCACGGATCTGAGACCCAATGAAAATTCCTTCATTAATTTTTTCAGTTCTAGTGGCAGGAAATTTAGACAGTAACAATTGAAATCCCTGGCCATCTTTGTCCATTGGTATTACAAAATTCTTCATAAAGCCCAATATTAATGAAGTGGTGGTAACATCACACTATCGTCGCCAATTAGGGATTCATGCGACACATTTTTTTTCCACCCGGAGTGAACATTCCTCTCAAAGAACACTCTTGAATATATAATGTTCTTTCCTTCCCCTACTACCCCAGTGGCACAAGAAATTGTGTAAGATGT